TGTTCTGTTTAGTAACTTTGGTTGTGGGGGCTATGAGTCTGGGATTTATAGCTGCTCTAAATCAAGTCAGCCCAACTTCAACTGCACTCAGCAGTACACTGCTGGTGTGACATGCAAAGACTGTAAGTAATCCTGAAAGTTTAGAAACTATTGATTAGAATTTATGTATGTTGCAGCTTGTAGTAATGGCCAGTTGAAATTAAGAGGTGGAAAGTATTTCAATGAAGGAACTGTTCTTGTCTGTTACAATAACATGTGGGGCTTAATATCGGATACTGCATGGAGCGATGGAGATGCTAAAGTTGTCTGTAGTAGACTGGGCTATCGCAATGGAAGTAAGGAATGAATTATTATTGACAATAGTTTCATATTTTATATAGTTGCTAAGTCAATCCGTGGCTCATACTATGGTAAACCAAGGCTCCCTGTTCATTTTAAGCATGTGTCATGTTTTGGACAAGAGACTAGCATCATTCAATGCTCTAAGACCATACTCTCACTGGATAGTGGTAAACTAACTCTCAACACTGATGATGTAGCTGGGGTTGACTGCATACACGATGAACCAACTGAATGTATTGCACCACCATCATGGATCAACACTGAAGGATCACAGTGTCAGTCTAATGGTACTATCAGATTAGAAGGTAGTGAGGAGAGAGGGACTGGTAGATTAGAGTATTGTTATAATGGATACTGGTCACCATTCTGTAAGCTGGACCCTGTGGCGGCTTCTGTTGTCTGTAAACAGCTTGGATTTGTTAATTATACAGGTTAGTATATACAAACATATAGTACTACATTGTTATTGTTTATTATAGCTGCTTCTGTCATTTCTACAACTGCTTTTGGAGTTGTTCAAAACTTTAGTCTTTTTAATAATATTGTTTGCAATGGAACTGAAGATAATGTCTCAGATTGTGTGGTCCAAACATCAGAATGCATTCCATTGTGTCCAAAAAATATCGGAATAAAATGCTTTAGTATGTTCAACTTCCTCTTAATATCTTTATAAGTTAATTACAGATCCTGGTATGTGTACTAATGGTGACATTAGACTAGTTGATGGTATCATTGAGAATGAAGGAAGAGTTGAAATATGTACTGATGGAGTCTGGGGAGCTGTCTGTGATGAAGGATGGGATAAGACTGATGCTCATGTTGCCTGCACACAGCTAGGGCATTCTGATAAAGGTATGTACAATATTTGAGTATCAAATGATTTATTCATCTCATAGAGCCGGTAGTATTTCTCAACTCAATCTTTGGTGCTGGTCAGTATCCAATTGTGCATTCCAATTTTGCTTGTGGAGGATGGGAAACTAATTTAACAGACTGTAGCAGGACAGTCTATCCACAGTTTAACTGTTCCAGGAACAATACTGCAGGAGTATTGTGTGGATATGGTAATATGCTCTGTTGTAGCTATATCTATATAATCATGAATGCTGTAGATTGTGAAGATGGTGAGATACGATTGGTAGGTAGTGAATGGAACTATGAAGGAACAATAGAGATTTGTCATGATCATATTTGGGGCCTTATTTCTGATTCAAGTTGGAGTACACAAAGTGCTGAAGTAGTGTGCAGGCAATTAGGATACCAGATAGATGGTAAATTATTTTCTAATGGATTACATGTAATTTTGTGACTTTATTAATAGGAACTCATCCATATTATCGTTCTCATTTTGGTAAACCACCTAACAAGACAATACACATATCAAATATAGGCTGTACTGGCCACGAGAGGACAATCAGTGACTGTACAAGAACAACTCTTTCCCTAGAGGAAGGAAAGACTATGATACCTCAGACTAATGTAGCTGGTGTGAAGTGCTATACTCCTGATCAATGCATTCCTCCTCCAACTGGAGGAGTATCATGTACTAGTGGACGCATTAGACTAACTGGTGGTAGGTCTGGTGTTGCTGAAGGGAATGTAGAGTACTGCTATCATGGATCATGGTCACTGTTTTGTTCACTTGGACCACAAGAAGCAGTAGTAGCTTGCAGACAGCTAGGATATGAGCAATATGACGGTATGTTATGAACAGACTAGTACTATTGTTATAATATTTTTTCTTTCTCACAGTAACAGCAGTGTTTGATGATGGAAGGTTTGGATTATCCAGTGTCAATAGCCTGTTTCAGAATGTGTCATGTATTGATGCTCCAACTGCTACATCATTAAGTGAATGTGATCTTGTTGATAAATGTCAATCAAAGTGTCAGTACCCCATTGGTCTACGCTGTTATGGTAAGTGACATTAAAGATTGTGATGTGATTATAACTTTATTTAGAATCAATTGGTGAATGTGAAGAAGGATCAGTGCGTCTTGTTAATGGTAGTACAGGAGAGTCTGGGAGATTGGAAGTCTGTACTAATAATATTTGGGGGAGTGTATGTGGCAGAGGATTCAGTGTAACTGATGCATATGTAGTGTGTAGACAAATGGGGCTTGGAGAATCTGGTATGATCACAATGAATGTATTCATGGTTATGACTCTTTATCATATTCCTCAGAACCAACTGTTTATACTGATTCATATTTTGGTGATGGTAATGAAGCTATCATTTATTCTGATTTCAATTGTGGAGGATATGAAGAGACTGTTAGTGAATGTCGCAAGAGAAAACATGGCTCCTTTACTTGTTCACGTAGCAATACAGTTGGGATCATCTGTAGAGATAGTAAGCTACTTTTATTACCACTGCTTTGAAGCCAGACCACTGATAACATTTTTGTAGATTGCTCTAACTCTGATGTACGTTTGGTTGGTGGTCCAACTGATTACGAAGGTATACTTCAAGTGTGTTATTATAATACCTGGGGGCTTGTGTCTGCTAATGGATGGACTGACAGAGAAGCATCAGTAGTCTGTAAACAACTGAACTATAATGCATCAAGTAATCTTTAATGATATAAAATGACTATCAAGCTGCTATTTTTAGGAGGTGTTTCTGTTAATGGTTCACATTATGAAGCATCAAGGAGGACCATACAACTTATTAATGTTGCCTGCACTAGAAATGTGGAGGAGCTGGATCAGTGTGATAAGAGATTATTGACACCGGCAGAAGGAATAGCTTTAAATGGCAGAGTCTCTGTAGCTGGAGTGAGATGCGTAATAGCAAGTGAAACAGTTCCAGGTACCTCAAGCGCTCAAAGTAGTGGCAGTAGTAGCATGGCCTATGTGACTGTAGGATCCATAAACATCATTATAGTTGTCCTTATACTCATTATTGCAAGGTATTTGTAGAACACACTATAACTATTACAATCTATTTTTTCCAGTGCAATTATATGCATCATGAAGAGGAAATACAAGAGTAGAGCTCCGGCCCATTTGACAAGAGTCCCACCACCTGCTATGGCTCTGCCTAAAATACCGCCAGATGCTAAGCTTGCTGATGATTATGATTATAACATGGCAACTGATATTGAAGAATATGTGTCTGTTGTTGATACCTATGAGGTAGAAAATGTATACGAAAAAGTCAACCAGGTTGAAGCTACTTCTTTTAATTAATTACTTCATTGCTTTAAGCATAACATATCAATTGTGATTGCTATTGATTTATTTTTTATTGAACAGGATGTTATCTCATACTTTTTTAAGTAATGAGAAAATTTTTGAGTAATTACAATTATTTTTAATTTGCAAAAAAAATTATTTTTCATTGTCCAAAAAAATGATGAAGAGCAGTAGTGTTGTGCTCCTTGTAGCAGCTCTTGCTCAGCAGTACATTTTAGCAGGTCAGTGTAATAGATCTAGCAATGTAGCTCTTTTGACAGCCTGTTCTCCAATAGACTCTGAATCCTGCAGTCATCATCAAACTGGCTCTGTACGTTTGGTATGGGGATCAGGACCCTGGGAGGGGAACCTGCAAGTTTGTCTCAATGGTGTATGGGGCTGGGTCTGTCACAATTCCTTCAGTAATATTGATGCAAGGGTTGTCTGTAGGCAGTTGGGATTTTCTACAAAAGGTAATGGTCACAAGTTCTTGACTGGTTCTTCATCATTTATTGATTATTGTCTGCTGTTCTCATGAAACCAGCCCATAATGCATTAGCAGATTACTGTGCTAAGTTGTTAATTGAAGCATTTGTAGTAATTAAAATTTTTGCTTAAAATGATTTTTAGTTGAGTTTCCTTAGGAGCTCAATTCAAGGGAAACTCATATTATGGTTGGGGCACTGGAAAGAAATTGATTGACTATGTGAACTGCGTTGGAACAGAGAACAGTTTACTCGACTGTAAGTACTCTAAAGCCTCAACTAGTTTGTGCAATCATGGTACACTTGCTGGAGTGGTTTGCCAAAGTGAGTTAATATCTAATTTTGATGAAAATGAGCCCAAAAATTACACAGGTGGTGGCTCATGCAAAAATCATGACATTCGTTTGATAACAGCATCATCATCATATAGATCATATGGTCGGATTGAGTACTGTCTCAATAATGAATGGGGAACTGTATGTGATGATGGTTGGGATAATTCTGATTGTAAAGTAGCATGTAAACAATTGGGATTTGATGGTAAAGTTAAATCAATGGACATGCATTTTATACATAGCATATAGGTCAGTCTTGTAGATCTACTTGTTGTGCAAACTATGGAAAAGGCTATGCTCCTATAGCAATAAGACATGTGGGCTGTTCAAGTAGCAGTAACAGTCTCTCTTCTTGTAGTTACATAGCAAATTCTGTTGGATGCAGTAGCACTGAAGTTGCTGGGATGGAGTGTTTTGGTTAGAAAAATGTTTTAAAAATAATAAATCTACTCATTCCATTTTAATGTAGGTCGAGTTAAGACCCCTTGTACTAATGGGCAGTTCAGATTGTGGAGACCTTTTAATAATACAGGACCCAGTAATGAAGGGATTCCATTGTATTGTAAAAGTGGAGTCTGGAGAACTGTCTGCAGTTACACGTTCAATTGTTACACTGCAAAACTAATATGTAAAGCAATGGGATATCCTGGAGCACTTGGTTAGTAGTTGTTTTGTATTAATAATAGTTACTGTAAAACTCCTCAATACAGGCGTTGCAAATAATTATAGATATTATGGTCGGTATCACATGAGTTATTATGACACATACTACTGGTCATGCAGTTCTTCTAGTTCTTCACTATCTCAATGTTCATATGTTTATTCAAGAGAGTGTTGTTCTAGAAGGTATGGTTACTGTAGATCATATTGCAACAGGTGCACTGCTTCAACAGCAACTGCTCTTATCTGTTATTCTCCTTCTCCAGGTATGAACAATAATAGTCTCAATTCATAATTATTATAATACATTTAGAATCTGGTACTTGTGCTAATGGTACTGTAAGACTAGTCAATGGATCTACCAGTAATGAAGGAAGAGTAGAGTATTGTTACGATGGGGACTGGGTACCTTCCTGTGGTATGTCATCAATCACTGCTTCACTCATATGTAAACAGCTAGGATACAATTCTACTTGTAAGTCTAAGCAGTAGAGAGTTTTTGTGTCAAATTGTAAATTACTCCTATCAGTTGTCAGTGTCTTTAATGATGAAAGATTTGGTCGTACTAACACATCAAGCACTTTCAACTATAAATACTGCAGTAGAAGTCAGAGTTCAATTTCAAATTGTACGGATGTAATAAAAGAAAGCTTATGTTATATAAATCCTTCACAATGTTCAACAGAGTATGGTCTACGTTGCTATAGTAAGTAATATAACAAAGGCCCTTATTATCAAATGTATATAATAGATACTGGTTCATGTTCCAATGACGGTGAGATCCGATTGGCCAATGGTACAATAGAGCAAGAAGGTAGAGCTGAAATATGTCTCAATGGAGTATGGGGTGGTATCTGTCAAACTAGTTGGGGTACATCTGATGCTTTGGTATTCTGTAAAGGACTGGGATACAGAGGACCAAGTAAGACAAATTTAATGAAGAAATTTAATGATTCAATGATATAGATCCAACCACATTCTATGGTGCTTATTTTGGTGAGACTGAAGGTCCGATTATATTAAGTAATATTGGTTGCTCTGGATTTGAGACCAGCATTCAACAATGTAGCAAGAGTATACAACCAAACTTCAATTGCACACAGCAAAAATCAGCTGGAGTGATGTGCAAAGACTGTAAGTCAGGCTTCTCATTTAAATGATTTGCATCATGTATGTTCATAGCTTGCAGCAATGGTCAGGTGAAACTAAGAGGTGGCAATGGCCCTAGTGAAGGAACTGTTCTTGTCTGTTATAATAACATGTGGGGCTTAATATCAGATACTGCATGGAGCAATGGAGATGCTAGAGTTGTCTGTAATACACTTGGATACAAGAATAAAAGTATGACTAATTAATTGATTCATGCAAACATGTGTTTTATTTTATAGCTGCTAAACCTGTAATTGGATCACATTTTGGCAAGACAAACTTACCACTACATTTTAAGCATGTGTCATGTTTTGGCCAAGAGACTAGCATTATGCACTGCTCTAAGATCATACTCTCACTTAAAAATGGAAAACTGGCTCTCAACACTGATGATGTAGCTGGGGTTAAATGTATAGATGATGATGGTGATGGTGACAATGATGATAATGTTGGAACAAGGCCTAGGGGCTGTATCGAGATCAATACTGTAGCATCACAGTGTCAGTCTAATGGTACTATCAGATTAGAAGGTAGTGAGGAGAAAGGGACTGGTAGATTAGAGTATTGTTATAATGGATACTGGTCACCATTCTGTAAACTGGATGCTGTAGCTGCATCTGTTGTCTGTAAACAGCTTGGATTCACTAACTATACAGGTAAAAATTACATAAGAGTTTTTAATGTTTTTAAAGTTTTTTTTAACCAAGCTGCTTCAATCATTCCCATTGAAATATCTCAGAACTTCAGCCTCTTTGAAAATATCACATGTACTGGTACAGAGTCTTCCTTATCAAACTGCAAGATTCATGCATCAAAATGTCTCAAATGGTGCAGTGAAGTTTTAGCAATAAAATGTTTCAGTAAGTCCAAACTTTTGTGAGTCCAATTATAACACTTTAATACAGATCCTGGTATGTGTACTAATGGTGATATTAGACTAGTTGATGGTATCATTGAAAATGAAGGAAGAATTGAAATATGTACTGATGGAGTCTGGGGAGCTGTCTGTGATGAAGGATGGGATAAGACTGATGCTCATGTTGCCTGTACTGAAATTGGATTTCCACAATTAGGTATCAAACTAAAAGACCATGCATTATAATTCAAGCTATTTCCTTACTTTATCAAACTATGTATAGAACCAGTGGCATATCATAACTCTTACTTTGGTGATGGAAAGTATCCAATTATGTATTCTGATTTTTCTTGTGGAGGATGGGAGACTAACTTAACCGACTGTGATAAGAAAATTTTTCCTCAGTCAAAATGCTCAAGGGATAGTGTTGCTGGAGTATTGTGTGGATATGGTAGGGAATAATATCCTTATTTTCATATTACATCAAATCCTGTCAATATAGATTGTGAAGATGGTGAGATACGATTGGTAGGTAGTGAATGGAACTATGAGGGAACAATAGAGATTTGTCATGACCATATTTGGGGCCTTATCTCTGATTCAAGTTGGGGTATTCAGAATGCTGAAGTAGCCTGCAGGCAATTAGGATACCAGATATATGGTAAAGTATCCTCTTAAAAACTGTGTAGTTATTGTGATGAATTGAATATAGGAACTCATCCATATTATCGTTCTCATTTTGGCAAACCACCTAACAAGACGATACACATATCAAGCATACACTGCACTGGACATGAAAGAACAATCAGTGATTGTACAAGAACAACTCTTTCCCTAGAGGAAGGAAAGACTATGATACCTCAGACTAATGTAGCTGGTGTGAAGTGCTATACTCCTGATCAATGCATTCCTCCTCCAACTGGAGGAGTATCATGTACTAGTGGACGCATTAGACTAACTGGTGGTGGTAGGTCTGGTGTTGCTGAAGGGAATATAGAGTACTGCTATCATGGATCATGGTCACTGTTTTGTTCACTTGGACCACAAGAAGCAATAGTAGCTTGCAGACAGCTAGGATATGAGCAATATGATAGTATGTTATGAACAGATACTATTGTTATATTTTCTTTCTCACAGTAACAGCAGTGTTTAATGATGGAAGGTTTGGATTATCCAGTGTCAATAGCCTGTTTCAGAATGTTTCATGTATTGATGCCCCAACTGCTACATCATTAAGTGAATGTGATCTTGTTGATAAATGTCAATCAAAGTGTCAGTACCCCATTGGTCTACGATGCTATGGTAAGTAACATTAAGATTGTGATGTGATTATAATTATAACTTTATTTAGAATCAACTGGTGAGTGTGAAGAAGGATCAGTGCGTCTTGTTAATGGTAGCACAGGAGAGTCTGGAAGATTGGAAGTCTGTACTAATAATATTTGGGGGAGTGTATGTGGTAGGGGATTCAGTGTAACTGATGCATATGTAGTGTGTAGACAAATGGGGCTTGGAGAATCTGGTATGATCACAATGAATGTATTCATGGTTATGACTCTTTATCATATTCCTGTAGAACCAACTGTTTATACTGATTCATACTTTGGTGATGGTAATGAAGCTATCATTTATTCTGATTTCAATTGTGGAGGATATGAAGAGACTGTTAGTGAATGCCGCAAGAGAGAACATGGCTCCTTTACTTGTTCTCTTAATAATGTTGTTGGAATCATTTGTAGAGACAGTAAGGAGTAACCATTATTGTGTGAATATATTCATGCTTTCATTAAATCCAGATTGCTCTAACTCTGATGTACGTTTGGTTGGTGGTCCAACTGATTATGAAGGTATACTTCAAGTGTGTTATTATAATACCTGGGGGCTTGTGTCTGCTAATGGATGGACTGACAGAGAAGCATCAGTAGTCTGTAAACAACTGAACTATAATGCATCAAGTAATCATTCTGCAAGGTGTTGTGTTTATTGCGCAATGATAGGAGGTGATGCTGTTAATGGCTCACGTTATGAAGCATCAAGGAGGACCATACAACTTATTAATGTTGCCTGCACTAGAAATGAAGAGGAGCTGGATCAGTGTGATAAGAGATTATTGACACCAGCAGAAGGAGCAGTTCTTACTAGAGTGGTTGATGTAGCTGGAGTTTATTGCATACCAGCAGTAACTGATACCCCTCGCCCTCGGCCATCATTCATTTTCCTCAGTTCTCCAATAGAAGTTAGCCATATGAAAAGAAGTACAAAAACGATATATGCTGCTACTGTCAGTGTCCTGATATTAGTAATAGTTCTCATTATTGCAAGGTATATTATATGATGACCTATGCTTTCCATTATTATTCTTTTAGTTGCATGGTTATCATTATTAAGCTGCTAAAGGCAAAGACGATTGTTTTCAACAGGCAGATGGAACTGCAGGCATTATCAAATCCAACAAAATCTAACGAGTACACAGCTGTTGATGAAAAATAAGAAACATCATGCTGGACTAGGTCATTTTGGTAGTATCTAAATTTCTTTGAAATGATTTTTTGAGTTAACATTAATTACCACCCCCGCGTAATAAAATTGCAAAGGCGGAGCTATCTAGTTTGTCAGTAATGGTTCCCTCCTTGTTCAGTAAATCTCTTGATGCTCTAATGAGAGATTTCTTTTGGTTCGAGGATAGTCTCCTGTACCTCCCGCCACTGATAAAATCCAAGATAGCGCAAAGAATGTGTAAAAGGCGCTTAATGAATGATCACAATGCTCAACTGGTTAGTGTTGAGGTTTCATATAATTAATTGTTATTCTTGCTGTTATTATTGTGTGGCTCCACCACAGAGCCTTGATCAGTCTTTATACTGAGTAATAGAAAATCTGTTTTGATTGGAGTTAGCTCAAATTTTCTATACCGTATTAGATTATTTTTTTTAATATAAAAAAAAGGAATTCTTTTCCAGCTATTTTTAATGAATTTTTCTGTTAGCTATTTTTGATAAGATTTTGCCAATTTTTTAGCAAATTAAAAAATTTTTAAAAAGTCTAATTTTGATCGGAATCAGTTCAAACTTTCTGTACAACATAAGTACATGTATACGCATCAGAAAATGTAATAAAAATAAGGAATTCTCTCCTAGTCGTTTTTAACATATTTTTGCCCATGACCCTGTACTATAGTACAGGGTCTATGGCCCAATTTTTGAGCAACTTAAAAAAATTTGTAAAAAATTTAATTTTGATCGGAATCAACTCAAACTTTTTGCACAACATAAGTACATGTATACGCATCAGAAAATGTAATAAAAATAAGGAATTCTTTCCTAGTCGTTTTTGACATATTTTTGCCCATAGCCCTGTACTATAGTACAGGGTCCATGGCCCAATTTTTGAGCAACTTAAAAAATTTTTTTTTAATTTAATTTTGATCGGAATCAGCTCAAAATTTTTGCACAACATAAGTACGTGTATATGCATCAGAAAATGTAATGAAAACAAAGAATTCTGTCCGAGCCAATTTTCATGAATTTCCCTGTCATAGCCCAGGGTCTTTGGCCAGATTTTTGAGCAACTTAAAAAATTAATTTTTGATTAGAATCAGCTCAGAATTTTTTGAGCAAAATAAGAACAAGTATATGTGTCAGAAAAAAACTAAGATTTTTCTCCTAGCAATAATTACCGTATTTATACTGTCATTTTAGGTTCTCCATGATGGGATTCATGATCTAAATCTTACAGATGGTAATATTAGTAGAATTTGCTTGCAGTCTATTGGATCATATTGCCCAAAACTAATAAAACTTAATCTCTCTGTTTCTGAAGGATGTAGGAATAACATTAACTCAAATGGTATGTATGTAGTTTATGTACACCATCATTCATTAGTACATACACACGCTTCACTCACTACCACCAAGTGATGGGAGTTCCCATTTGCTAACATTAGTGTATACATTGTAATGTGATTGTTAGCTTGTTACCATAACGTCTGATTATATTTTTAAAATTTAGATTTAAGCAGACTATTCTGTCGCTGTACAAGACTGCAGGTAGTTGATCTCAAAGGCTGTGTTTTGGTGGATAACTCCTGCATTGACGTGTTGACAAGAAACTGTTGTTACTTGCTCTCCCTCTCCCTCTCTGGGTGTCACATGATCACTGACAAGAGTGTCATGATACTCACTGATCGATGCCACTACTTGCAGGTCCTTGATCTAAGTAGGACAAAGGTTTGTTAATAATTAGTGATCTACAGGTACTTGATTGCTTCTTTTAGGTCTCCAATAACGGGCTGTATTATTTATCAAAAGGAATGTGCTCAACCAAGTTAAAGGTATGTAGGTAGATGTCTTAGATTTCAAGCATTTGTCATTGATACATTTGTTATTTGACAAGTGCATCTCATCATTGCTGACTCATACTTTTTGATACCCAGGAGCTGAAAGTGACACAGTGTATCAACATCACTGATGAAGGTGTGCAAGCTATCATGAAGCACTGCACACGACTTAGCTTCCTGGACATTAACGGCTGTCCTATACAAAACAATCTCTCATCGATTGGAAAACTTCAACAAATCTCTTGGACCATATATTAACAGAACTAGCAGATAAATCCCATGTGCAGTCTATATTATTTAAGTATTTTTAAATCACTTATATCTAGTACGTAGTCTCAAATACACTGGAACACTTTACATTGTTTTTTGTTTAATACTCATTAATAAATATAAAAGTATAAAAATTAGTTTTTATTTCCATTAATGATATATTTGTTTTCAATTTCTTTGGCTTTGCGCATGTTCCCGTATTTAGACACAGCGCTGACTATATCCTCCCAGCACGGACACAAGTCTTGCTCGTGACATGCATGTAATACATCAATGAGCTTCTCTATCTCTGATCGGTTTTCCCTCTCAATAATTTCCAGTTTAACTCTTGGGAGTTTAAGGTGGATTCCAAGAGCCTTGGAGTTGGATATTTCCGTATGCAACTCCTCGAATGCTAACTTGGGATCGCTGAGCTTGTGACAGCTACCAGCTATACAGAGAGGCAATCAAACACTGACTGAGAGGACCAAATAAAAGTGGCTCACTTGGAATGGTAGAATAGAGGGCCTCGTCGGCAGTTTTGTCCAATTGATCCTTAACTATAAACAAGGAATTAATGTGTAAGCAAGTGTTCACAAGTGACATACATACCTACTGGCATACTATAGACGAACATACAAATGAACCAAATGATTAAAGAGACAACCATCACTGCCCCGATCCCTTTCACTGCTGGCCAGTAAGATATTTCCTCATTGCCAGTTTCCTCAATACCAGTATGTTGAGTAGGAGTAGTGCCTGCTATATGTATATGTGTGATTAGGATATAATGTTATAGGAAGGAATACCTCCTCCTTCTCTTTTTGCATCTCCCTTCCTTGCTCTCACAGTAGTAGTGTCTGACTCATCTAATAAAAGGTGTTTTAAAATTAATTATGAAAATTATTAATGTACAGCGGAAGGACTAAAATTTGGCAAATTGCTAAATTTTTTGGCAAATTTTAATTTGCCGAATTTGTGGCCACATGCCATTGAGCATGTGTATAATGTTTTAAAATGGCAGATTTTATTTTGGCAAATGGCTATCAAAACACCAAATTTGCCAAATTTAATTCCTTCCAAATTTCCCGCTATACGGTAGAATGGTGCCACTTCCAGCATCACAATTTCTTAAGCATAAAATATGTTCATGATAGGCATTCACAGATAAAAACATAATAATAATAATAAAATGTCTCCACCCAGTGATGAATTACCAGTGAGGGGAGGGGTCGACGTCATTTCTCCATTATACTGACGCTCTATTTCTTTTATTAATGTATCGGTAGTTAGCTGCTCCTTCAAAACCGACAAAAAAATTTCAAATTTTTGGGGAGATGCCTTAATAACCCGCTCAACATCAGAGAGGAGTTTGCTGGCTCTCTCGAGCGAGTTCTTCCCCTGAAGGGCTGCGTCCATTCTTGAGGACTGATTTATGAGCCCCTTAGAGTAAAATGCGTTAGCTAGCTGTGTTGGATTGACAATTGCTTCGACCAGTTCTGCATAATGACGTTTTATAAGAACAGACCCTGACACAGAGGGGGCAGCCATGACAGTTGTAGGTGGGATTGTGTTTGGGGTGGGTGGTTGGAATTTAACCCGAGTTTTAAAAATTAACTGTAATGTTGTAGCATAAAATTATCAGGTTGCAGCAAGCCATCAATCAATTACTCTTGGCTTCATTGAGCTGATTAAAGATCAAGCTAGGCGATAATTTATCAATTACTCTTGGCTTCATTGAGCTGATTAAAGATCAAGCTAGGCGATAATTTATGAACCTAGCATGTACAAACTTCCTTGTCCACCCAACAACACTCTTAATCAGTAATGCAATGATACAAAGTGTAGAATTTTCAGTGACAACAAGGTTAGCAATGTGATTATGAATGTATGGTTTCTCTTGGCATTATAGCCATGTGAATTGGCATAACTTGATTTGACTCATAAAATTCATTTAGGATGTTGTGACTGTATTTAATCTGTGTACAGCCTACACCTCATCATCAGTCATTCTTCCAGACAAGAAGAATGCATCTTCTACTAGCAACTGCTCTGTTTGTCATCAGCTGCAAACTCTCTTCTGCTCAGTACTATGTCTCTGAAAACTGTGCAGCTCATAATGCGCCTCTACCTTGTGACAATTTTTCAGAGTATGCTGAACATATCGATGAATACAGCAATGCTGTCTTCTACTTCATCGGTACGAATTACGTAAGGTCTCTTGTCAATTTTTGCGAGACTGATAACATAACATTAGAAGGACTGGATCAAAATGCTGTTATTGCTTGCTATGATGATGATGAAGAGGATGTTGGTCTTGCTATCACTGAGAGCAGTCACTTTTCCTTTAATAGTATTAGTTTGTACAACTGTAAAATGGTTGTTATGAATTCCTCCAATATCTCTATCACTGGGTCACTTTTTTATGAAGTTGACGATCTTGATATGAAGAATGCATTAGATGTCAGTTTTTCCCACTCGATATTGTACAAGACCTCACTCTATTTTTTGTACACTGCTCTTAAGGAGTGCAACAGTGAGCTACAAAACTACTCATTATCCTTGTTCAATCTTTCAGGGATTAACACGGATATTGTTGTAGCAATGATACACAGCACAGCATATAATCTATCAGTCAGTCTGGATCACATTAATATCACGAGTAACTACACTACAGAAAATATCAAGATCAAACTGAGCAACTCGATGTATTCTATTAGAATTGCTGATACGTCAACATACAATGGAAGAAGTGGCTTGATTTTTTCGTTCATTCGTGACCTTGAAGAAAGGTGCGATATTGCTGGTATTGATCCATCATTACAATCAGTTATTGTTAAGGACAGCCATTTCTATGGCAATGCTATCTGTGGAATCCTCATAGACAGCACTATTGTAAATAGCAGGCTCCATGAGTTTTTCATTCAGTCTATCTCAATCACCAACAATAGTTACTTTGGTCTAATAGTTGCTTTTGATTTTTTGACATGCCCTGAAATACATATTGAGAACGCTAACATATCGCATAATCCACGGAACTGGATATATAACTGTGATAGTGTATTGCTAAGTAATGTTAGAATTATTGAGACTCTCTCAACAGGATTGGCATTGAAGGGATCATCTATAGCAGTTAAGAACAGTTTAGTATTTATGAACAACAGTGGAGTCAATGGAGGTGGTGTATCACTAAATGGAAGCTCATTTATTCTATTGTTTCCGGGAGCTTCAATAGATTTTATAGGCAACCGTGCCTCTAATAAAGGAGGAGGGATATACAATTCAGAACATATTTTGTGCCCGTTCATTTTTTTAGGTGAAGAAGAGGATTTTGTGCTCCCAGTACTAAACTTTCAGGACAACTCAGCAGGAACTATAGGAAATGATAGCTATGGAGTAATACTGTTTGGTGAGCCTGTACAATTGGTAGTGAATGAGACAGACATTTCATCTACAACTGATGCAGTGAGGATGCATTTCTGTGAGCCTGGGTTAGAAAACGAAAACACGACTAATCTGATGGACAAACAAAATATTTTCCCTGGACAAAAGGTGGAATTTTATGTGACTATGCTTGGCTTTGGCGCTAATTTGTCAGCATACAGCACTACTGATGGCTCTGTTGATATCATTCTACGCCATCCTAATTATGAGGGACAAACAATCAAGTTTGAAACACAGCCTGTTGCAGCAAGTTGTTCTAAAGTTGAATTCCTGCCAGACGCATCTCTTCTAATTGGAGATGACACAGAAGTAGAGTTGCAGATTCGTCAGACTAAGGAATTAAACTTAATTAACATTGATTATGAAGCACTTCAATTCCAATTCATTGTGAATCAGTGTCCAATTGGTTTCAGCATGAATGAGTCAGGAATCTGTGATTGCACAGAAAATATTTCATCAGCTAAGAATGTAACGTGTGACATAAACAACCTGACTCTCTCCCACAATGGTTTGCGATGGATTGGGACACACAATGCTGGTGAGTCTTTTAATGCTAATGACAGTCATAGTGATGTTTGTATCATCAATGAGCATTGCCTTGTATATTGCATTCCAAGCAGCATTACATTCATGATCAATGATACCAATAATCAGTGCACAAACAACCGTGGTCAAAGATTGTGCGGATCCTGCAGAGAAGGATATAGTTTGCTCATTGGGTCAAACAACTGTGGCTTATGTGATAGCAAGTACTTCATAATAGCATGGGTTGCTCTCTTTGCAGTGATGGGCATAGCAATGGTCGTTTTTCTGATTCTCCTCAATTTAACTGTATCTCAAGGTACACTGAATGGCTTATTGTTTTATGCAAACATTATAAAACTATACGAGCCAGTCTTTTCAAGAGAAAGGGCACTACCAGCTCTTGGTCAAGTTATATCGTGGATAAATCTAGACTTTGGAATCGAAGCATGTTTTTACAAAGGAATGGATAGATATGCTAAAGAATGGCTTCAGTTTGTTTTCCCTTTCTACCTATGGATAATCATCATTATTATTATTCTACTGTGTAGAAGGTATGGTAAAATATCTAGATTATTTGGTTCAAATACAGTTCCTGTATTGTGCACACTGCTCTTTCTTTCATACTCCAAACTAATACGTACAGTTGTAATTGCGTTAGACAGAAGGGACATTACCATTCACTGCACAGGCAATGTAACATCATTGAGTGTTTGGTATGAAGATCCTACAGTCGAATACGGTAAAGGCAAACATGCGGCACTATTTGTGTTTGCTTTATTAGTTATGATTCTATTCATCGTACCATACACATGCCTCATTTTATTCAGTCCTCTATTTGAAAAGCATATGTCAAACTATAAAATGTTCAATAAGTATTGGAGTTGGATCAAACCTATTGTTGATGCACACAGTGGCCCCATGAAAGACAAGTATCGATTCTGGCCTGGTGTATTATTAGTAGCCAGATTACCAATGCTTTTGTCTGTCATATTGGTAGACAGTTACATTTTACGACGGTTGTATCTCTTGTGTATCTTACTGACAGTCTTAGCGATACTATTCTCACTTGGGTATTGCTTTGGTGGATTGTACAGAAACAAACGACACGACTTCCTTGAAGCCTGGTTCCTATTCAACTTGAGCATCATGGCAAGTTTAGCAGTGATCAGCAATGATACCAGCATAGTGGCAATATGGTTCAATATCTCCCTTGGGATATTCACTGTCACGTTTGCTGTAATTATCCATTACCATTTGCATCAACAACTCCTCCATCACACATGGTACAGATCTCTACTGAGGCGCAAGAAACAAGAGAAGCCCAAACAGGAAGAGAAGGAAGAAATCAAGACACACAAAACTGTTGATGCTCAAAAGCGCGAGATTGTCCCAAGGACTACAAATATCAGGATTAACCACCATGGCCGTGAATCCGTTATTGAACTCTATTAACATGCTTTTGACATATCTATTACATATTATTGTTTGTATCATCCTTAGTGGCTGTCCTTAGCAAATATCAAGCTATAAGGTTTCATAATTAATAAATGTATTCATTTTATTTTTTTATAATAATAAAAAATCATTATGATGTAGTAGACATACTCTTTAAACACTCAAGCAAAGTGATAATATCGTCCCTGCACCAAACATTGGTGAGGTCTTCTGTAGACTCATTCCCATTCTCAGTAGAGACAGAACTCAGTTCCAATGATATGCTATCCACAATCTTACACCAGTCTTGTAGATAAAGTCTTGTTTCATTAGTAATAGGTGACTCATCAGTTTGTAATTGGGTTTGATTGCACCAAATTTTATAGTTCTCTAACAGCTTGATCCCTTCATCATACTGCGACCAACACGACGTCAAATTAGCAATGTCCACTGAAGCTAGTTTCTGTATTAGTGTCTGATTGTGAAAAACATCAGTACATTGAACAGCTACATATAAAAATAAAAAGCAAATAACAGTATAGTGTTCATTCCTTCATACCTGATGATGAGGGCCATAAAATATAAGCCAGTATAATAGCTAATAGTCCAACTAAGACACTACCAGCAACTGACAGTATTACATATATGGGAGTGGCATAGTAATTCTCACCATCTAAAAGAAAAATATAAAAATAAAAAAATACAAAAAAGAAATTTTAACCCCGCAAAATTTAACCCTTTACCTATTTAATACCAAACACAAAAATGAATGTGTTAGCTTGATGTTAGTGTTACATCATTATTATTAGGCTATTACAATATTTATATTTTATAGTTTTCCATCCATTTTATAAGCAGACATGCAAGCGGTGTAATTAATTACATGTATTATAATAATTATGTTGTGAATAAAATAATTATTAATATCAATAATAGTATAAATTGTGTGCATGTATAACTAATGCAAAACCACAATGATTAATAGCGAGCAGCACCAGGAAATGGTACACTATAAATCTTATTGGAGTTGCCTGCCTTACTAGTACAAACTTACAATATTCTTTTTCCATTCGAACTACAACCTCGTTCAAAGGCGAGTGCTTCCTAAAAGAGTTCATAATGATAGGAAAAGACTCTGGGTCCCTCTGAAGAGCTACTCGTACACGAGACATGAGGGAAGAAGCGAAAATCATGTCCACCAATGGGTCACACTGATTGACCGTCTTTGAGAATTCACTGTAAACCCTCTCGGGAATGACGTTAATGTCTAAAAGATCAATGGCGACGGACATGGTGTGGTTCATACGCGAGGCTATCGCTCTGATCAACGGGAGATTGTATTTCTTGATGAGGTACAGAGCTTTCTTTGCTCTTTGATCACGAACAAACTTGTCGATGGACTTCATGTTTTTCTGACCACGCCTTGCGACACGCCCAACAACCAACATGTGGGTCTGTCACGTGATGCTGTCAGTTATTAAAATAGGTGTGGTTACCCACGTGGTGTCTTGATGATTTTGTTAAAGATTCTTAGAGTCAGACATTCTACTTCTTTTATAAACTCTTGTTTTCCATTTAGCTCAGTATTAAGGTGAGATTTTGCTCTAAAATACAATTAAAATGCCTTGAGTATGAGATACCAAGCCTAGCCTATTTGATATTGGATCTGATCCTCATTTTAATTAAAATTTCCTTTAATTTTAAATTAGGTGGAACACTGTGATGTCAATTCCCAAAATCGGGACGCACAATGGGAAGTTCCATTGTGACGAGGTATTAGCGTGCTACATGTTAAAGGTTCTTCCAGAGTACCAAGAAGCAGCTATCGTTAGGTCGAGGGACCCCCAGGTACTGGATAAGTGTGATATTGTGGTTGATGTTGGTGCTGTCTATGATCATGACAAGTTACGCTATGATCATCATCAAAGGTGAGGTCACAGAGGAAAGGAAAGGGAGGCAGTACAATTGTTTTTTTATATGTGTACATGTATTGTTGCTTTTCACAGCGTACTTGTTAATTTCGGTATTTTTGATAAGCCTATGATAATTATTATAATTGTAATATTTATAATAATTATATTATTGACCCAATCATGACATATTGTTTTCATTGTGGTTTTTATTTACTCAAGGGGTTTTAATGAGACAATGCATTCGTTAAGTAAGAGTACTAAACCTTGGACTACCAAACTTAGCAGTGCTGGCCTGATCTATTATCATTACGGAGAGAGGGTGTTGTCTGCACTAACAGGTAAAGCAAGTTATTTTATTCCTTTTTTTTAAAGTAATTATTTTTGCCATTTAATAGGTTTTAGCATTGGATCGTCAGAGTTGGCTAGTCTTTATGATGCTGTGTATAATAATTTCATTGAAGAGATTGATGCTGTGGACAATGGGATTCAGGATAGAGAGGGCATACCTAAGCGAGTGATAAAAATATTATTGCTATTATTATTATTATTTTATTTATTATTATAATAATATTATTATTATTATTTTAGATACAAGATAACAAGTACTATTGGATATCGTGTTAGTAGACTTAATTCACGTTGGAATGATACAGATCATAAGCCTGATGTAAGCCTAATATCTTTGGATTTTGGAGTGACTTTTAAAATTCATGAAAGATTTAATTTTGATTGGAATCAGCTTAAACTTAATGCACAATATAAGTACATGTATATGTATCAGAAAAAATTATTAAATGAAGAATTCTCTCCTTTTCATTTTTGGCAAAATTTGGCCAAGAACCCTGTACTATACTTTGGCCCGATTTTGGAGCAACTTTTAAAATTCATGAAAACTTCAATTGTGATCAGAATCAGCTCAAATTTGATACACAACATAAGTACATGTATATGTATCAGAAAAAATATAAAAATGGGGAGTTCTCTCCTTTTTGTTTTTGGCGAAATTTTTGACCAAGAACCCTGTACTATAGTACAGGGACTTTGGCCCGATTTTGGAGCTAACTTTAAAAATTCATGAAAAATTCAATTGTGATCGGAATCAGCTCAAACTTGATACACAACATAAGTACATGTATATGTATCAGAAAAAATTATTAAAATGGAGAATTTTCTCCTTTTGATTTTTGGCGAAATTTGACCAAGAACCCTGTACTATAGTACAGGAACTTTGGCCCGATTTTGGAGCAACTTTAAAAATTCATGAAAAATTCAATTGTGATCGGAATCAGCTCAAATTTGATACACAACGTAAGTACATGTATATGTATCAGAAAAAATTATAAAAATGGAGAATTCTTTCCTTTTCATTTTTGGCAAAATTTGACCAAGAACCCTGTACTATAGTACAGGGACTTTCACCCAATTTTGATTATTTAATTTTGATCAAATTGGGTCAAGCTTTCTACGCAACATAAGTACATGTATGTGTAGTAAAGAAAATCATAAAAATGAAGAATTCTCTACTAGCCATTTTTGACGAAATGAATCTTGATCTCAAAATTTCTATGTAACACATGCATAAGAACATTTTAAATTGGAATTTTGAGTTGATTCCAATTAAGATTAAAATTTTAAAGTTACTATTATTAATAATAATTTATCTCTAGGAAAGATTCAAATACGCAATGGAGAGAGTAGGGGAAGAGTTTAATGATATCATACAACATTACAAGGACTCATGGCTTCCGGCTAGATCTATTGTATTGTCTGCTATTGAAAAGAGACACGAGGTAGTACCGTAGGGGGGCCTTTGTTGAGGGCTGTAAATTTTGCAGATTTGCAATTTTTTTAAAGATTCATGAATATTAGATCTACTTTTGCAAAAATCAAATTAGTACGGTACAAGATGGCAGATGGCATAAACTTGCAAAAAATAAATTCGCGAAACCTATAGCCCTCAAAAAAAGGTGCCCTACTGTAAATTATTCATTATGCACTTTGTCGATGTATTTTAGGTTGATGCATCGGGTGAGGTTATTAATTTAGAGCAGTATTGTCCATGGGTTGAACACCTCCTTATGCTGGAGTCTCAGATGAACCTTAAGAAAACTATAAAGTTTGTCCTCTATCCGGAGGAGAGTGGGAAGTGGAGGGTACAGGCAGTACCTCTCGCTACTGGCTCCTTTGTCAACCGGTCAGTTAATTGAAAAGAAATGATAATATTGTTAGCTAAAAATTTAAAACATTAAGGGCCCTGCCCTCTTGCCATACCCTAGTTGATATGATGTATGTGTACAAATATACATTATTCTATCAATAAGAGCTTTGCTGAGGCAAAAAATTACAAGGAAAGAATTCTTCGTTTTTATAATTTTTTTTCTGATACGTATACGTGTCCTTATGTTGTGTATCAACTTTGAGCTGATTCTGATCAAATTTGTACTTTTTATGAATTTTTAAAGTTGCTCCAAATCCCATGTACTGTATTGTGGTGCTTGACTCAGCTCATGAAGCATATTGTTTAGTGCTTTGTGGGAAACATGCTAAATGCCTTTACATTAGTGTAATGGCTTGTGGTCAAATTTTAATGGCTTTCATCCAAAAATATTACAAATTGCAATATTGTAAATAGGACATCACCCCTGTCTTTCTCAGTGTCTGTAATTTGTATAAACATCCTTGGCAGTAATTACTGCCCTTCCTCTTTCTCTTTCCAATGATGCAGTGTGTCTTTGTTGGAGGAATGGAGAGGACTAAGAGATCAGGAACTATCAGACCTATCTGGTATACCAGGCTGTGTGTTTGTTCATGCCAATGGATTCATTGGCGGTAACTCTACACTTGATGGTGCACTGTCTATGGCTATGATTACCTTACAAAATAGGAAGAAATGACAATATTATTAGTGAAAAATTGATTCTCTAATATTATTTTAGCATATAATTTTCTATGAGATGCACTCTTAAAATTAATGTCATCATAATCATTATTACCATTACTGTTATATACTATTATTATTATTATTGATCTAGTACAGCTCTCCACATTGGGTCAGTGGTATTCCTGAGTAGCAGTGGATCTTGTTCTATTGTTCTTATTCGTAGCTCCAAAGGACCCTTCATCATCTGCTCCTTGTCCTTCTCCCAGTCCCAGAGGCCAGTAGAGGCAGGGAAGACAATCTCACCATCAAAAGGATTGATCTCCACGAGATAGACTTGCTCCGGAGTCCATGCAAAGTCGATGATGTACCTATCAATTGGGATTTGTGCTTTGATTGAGTCGTAGAATGTCTCCAGGTCAGATTGAATGAGAGGGACAAGAGACTGTAGCTGTGGAAACACAACCGGGTGGTTGTACTGGCCAATGGACGTCAGTTCCCTTCCCCAAACGAAGCCACGGAACTCTGCCCAGAGTGGTATGTCTACCCATTCACGTAGCACGAGTGAGCATGTCTCTGATAGTTGAAGAGGATCAATGGGTCCACTGCTTTCTCCCGTGTCCAGTGCATATTGTAAGTCCTCACCCACTCGTGTGCTTGAGGCTAGTAATTGGACTGCTTCCTCTCCAGTCTTTACATTTAGACTGTTAATAACTGACTCTTGGAGGAGTATCAGTTTATCATTGAGACTGGGTCCTTTAGAGCCCTCAGCCCTAATAGTAGCTAGCTGGGAGGTGTAATGTCGTTTAGCTTTCATGAATGCAAAGTGGGAGTCTTTGGGTGATCTTGTTGATAGCTTAACGAATACACCTTTACCATTGGGGGACAGTTTGTTGATGACACTCTCAATTCGTTGAGCCATGTCACTCAATTCAATTGGTATGCTCAGGCCTGTCTCTGGGGTTGGTTCAGGATCATTACTGGTTCTCTCCTTGAAAAACCTCTCCCAGTGCTGTATGATGGTGCGAGCTTCATCTGGCCTAATGCTAAGGAATTCGGTTTTGAATGTCTTGTCTTTCAAGGAACTGTACCACCTGTCCAGCCCTGTACTGAAAAGGTAGTCCCTCCTCTCTGCTTCTTTCTCCTGGGTCACTTCACCTTGTAGGGCTAGCTGATAGTTAGGGGCACTCCTGTCCTTCTCACCTGTTGCTTTCTTTAGTTTGACATTACTCAAAGACTCTGGGTTAATCATTGTCTAGCTCTCTGCAAGCAAATTGCCACACCTTTTGCAAGCACAGCATTGACAGTAATTGACAATTCATGAATTCAATAACAAACATAAATAAATAATAGTGTTCTAAAAATTGTTAGAAATATAATATCTTTATCACCAAGGGTTTCCTAGTAGTTTGTCTGTCAACTCAATGATATCTTCAAAGCATCTCAGTGGCTCACTGAAGTAAGGAAGCTCTAGCGAGTCACTCTCCTCTAATCTTCCGTGGGTATCAGTGATGATGGATGATTGAGGTAAAATTGGATCAGAATACTCAAAAAGATCAGCTAGTTTAGTATCATTATATGGCACTGGATACTGGAGTAGAGATCCTGGAGAACTTTCTTCAGAGCTTGAGACGGGTGATCCTAAAGAGCTTTCATAGCTGTTCACAGATGAAATGGAATAAGCAGGTGGTCTTTGATTCAAATATATTGATGTTTCCCTAATCACTGGGTCATCTGTGTCACATTTAAATGGACGAATGGAATCTTCCATGCAGCACTGCTCTTGATCGTGTTGTGCTATAAAAATAATAATAGTACATTTAAACAGTTTGTTTAACCGTGTTTGTCTCATCATAAAGATGACGATTTTAAAAAATGAATGACAAGTATCTAATGCACAACTTGTATGTACCTCTTGATAGTATTGAGTTCGAGTAGTCTTCCTCTATTTTCTCTGACTGTACAAGTTCTGTTATGTAGATGATGTATTCGGTTAGAAATCGAAAGAGAACTTGAAATGTTTCTGAGAGAAAGAGTAACAAATATTTTGTAAATTATCTGCCCCGTAGCAGTGACTGAAGCAGTTAACTGATTACTGACCTTGACTCTCAGCCTTTGTGGTAATTGTTTCAACCTCTATGTATGATGCAAAGCAATTCCACAGAAGATAAAAGTCATAAAGCAGTTCAAGTTTGAAAGCAATTTCAGAGCCAGCTATCTACAAGTAACAAGAAGCACAAGATTGACAAGTAAGTGTTAACTGGCAGTCTTCTTGAATGGGCACAATGGTAGTCTAGCACAATGGCTAGCTTACTTTGATAATGTGTTCTTCTATCATCCCATCAATCCATAAAAGAAAACCTTCTATGTTTGATTGTTTCTGCAGAAGTCCTTGCAAGTTAATGGCAACTGTATAGATAATACATGACTGATATCCAAATGGTGTATCTTACATTCTGTAGCTATCTCTTGAGCATTAAGGCATTTGCTTTTCATTGTAACTGTTTTAATGTGGTGGATTAGTGTGTCACTTTTCATTTTTTCCATGTCAGCAGCTGCACTACCAACAAGCTTAGACATACTCAGAATGTGTCTGACATGCTGCAAATTAGTAAAAATACAAGGTGAAACTAGCACTATCGTTTCCTTTGCTTACCTTTGCACTTTCTAAAAGATTGAGGTGATGTCTCAATGCCTTTGTAAACATATCAGCAGCTGTTAATAAAGAATATCTTATTATGCATTAGGAAGTCATGGTTTATATATTACTTTGCATTTTGATGTCCCTGACAGCTTGTGGTAGTGGATCATTTAGACACTGTATTAGCCATTCTGTGAGCCTCTTGGGAAACAATACTATTAAATCCTTGTTGCCACTAGAAATGAAGTGTTATTGACATTCAAGTATGTGCACGTGCATACATTCCAGGTGCTTCTGTAAGTGTATCAGGTATCAAAGTATTGCAGAGGCTCTATAAATGATAATTGTTGGAATGAGTGATGTGGGCTAAGAGGATCAGTGATCTGCCAAACCAGGGCCTGCATTATATACTTACATTATACAAGATAGAGTCATAGACCACAATAATATCCAATAGTATTTGATTTTCAAGGCTGGGCAGCATGTGAGAAGGCATTCCTGTCCAAAAGTGGACCAAAAAGTCTTGAACCTATGCATACAGTGAGATTTAGTTTATGTCCATTCATAAACATGATATACATTTCTCACATGCATGAGCGCAACTAGACATATTATGTACTAATTATATGAAATTAACCTCATCAAAATTTCTTCTGGAAACAGAGTCAAAAATCCTTTGACAATGTGAGCTGTACATCAGCATAAATGTCTCTACCTGTAACGTAAGCATTACATTGATTACTTTCATAATTTCATAAACATATCATAGCTCTACCTTATTTTGTGGGAGTTTTTCAACTTCAACCCCCTTGAAGAATGGGAAACTGGGCAAGTCAGATAAATTTTTAAGCAATCCACTATTGATGTTATCCTGCAATTAATAACACAACTATAAAATGATTGCCGGTTTCTTGTTGCAACTATCAACTTACATTTGATCTTTTCTCTTGATTGTTAGTAAAGCTATATAAGAATGTGTACACAAATAAAATTGCAATTAATTTTCTTTATGATTACCGTGTAATTCCTCTCCTTGGTACAGTTGCAATATTTGCTTTTCGCTTATAGTATATGGAGGTCTCTTTCACACCCAACCCATAATAGTGATACCTATTATAACGGACCGTTTTATCATCTACTACTGCAGATCGCTTTTACTTTGATTGTCCTCTTGTTCCTAATCTTCTCGTAGAAACTTTTGGGAATTTAATTCGGACAACCTGCTCAAAATTTTGTTTGCATTAAAAATGCCCTGTGGCCTGCCAGCTAACTTCCGAATTACCTTTCCAAAGCTTGCTGGGCTATGTGGTTTCCGTGATTCTTTTCTGCAGAATTCCTCATAGAGTGAGTAGAGCTCACTTCTTGCCAGGCAAGAGCCTGGGATCATGCAGTAGTTCTCTTCTAGCCTGTAATAAAGGATGTTCTCTCAGCTCTGCTCAATGATGCGTGGTCTTACCAAACTAGAATGGTTTTGGCCGCTGATGAAATCCTTTTAGTCTTCGCTGTCCTTCCTGTAGCTACACCCAAAAATCTACACAAGCAATTATCATTTCACTTACCTAATCTCGAGGTCTCTGGTCTTCTTGATGGAGATTCAGTCATTGGTGCGAAGCTATGAAAAGTAAAAACATCTATAGAAAGAAGTCGAGCTGTTTTCGACTTATGTGCAAACGATAATTATTATTTTATAGGCGTGGTTTTATTCATAATAGTTTCATCATTTACTCACAGTCTCTATGATATCTATATACATCATTATGATTTTTAAACAAATAATATGCTGAATCAATAAACCATTAAATCTCAAGCTTATCAAGAGCAGTCAATAAGTGATGCAGTTGCCATAACGTTCTGTGATTATTAGAATTTTTCATTTTCCTATCCACAAGTGAATGCAAGTGCTTTATAAGCCTTGAGTATCTTTCCCCATCCCTAGCTGGATACAATCTTATGAAGTCCCCACTGAGGAGTCTTTCCCTCATTGAACTGATAACTCCAGTCAGGGTTTTTATGTCAGTACAATACAGATGGATCTTTTCATTGCACAGGGGTCCGGGCCCTATTCCAATTTTAAGTATTTCCAGACCCTTAACGAGAGTAGATGCTATAGACACATTTCCATAGAGAATCCTTAGCATGTGATGGAGGAGACCATACTTAGTGATAGTGTAGGGGCTTGATGGATTGGGCAGTACCCCCATCTCATGAGAGAGCTGCATAGAGGGTAAACCATTCACCTGCCAGAAACAACAGTATATAAATATAGCAATATTCAACTAATCAAATTTATTCATCATTTGAAGAAAAAGCATTTAATTTCGCATTCTAAAAACTGTACATAAAACATCAATTAATGACTGCTATTTTTACATTGATTTGAATAAACTCAATTAAAAGGAAGCTTTTAATTGAGTTTATTTGCTTTATTTGTGCAAAGCCAACAGCAGCAGTAGCATATATGGTCAGACAGTATATTTATTCAAGCTTCTATTTGAGTTTATTTAAATTAACATCAAAAAATAGTTGTCATTAATTCAAGGTGGTCATACAAATACATATACAATACATACACTATACATATACTGATATAAATATCATTCATAAAAGCAGGCTCAGATACAGGCAATAGGCATAGTGGGTAATTAAAAGGCTTCGTACAAAATATCAACGGCTATCCAGTGCCAACATTACTGAGATGCCATAAAGCTTTGAGAAATTAAGTTTATTCATCTTACAGTCTTCTATTGAACAAGCAGCAACATGATCACACATAGGCACCCAATACACCTATAAACTGTACTAATTGAAGTGAATGTTAGGCAAAGGTAGGGAGTGGCATTATCTGCAATTTAAACTTCGTAACCAATCAATATGTAAACCAAACAATCTTAAATCGTAGTGATAAGTTGTAAATAGCTGTAAAATCAACCATACAGTAACAGAGGAAAAAGCTCATGTGTAGTCCTTTTCTTTCAAAATTTCTATACACGTCATCAGTACATTAAAAAATATGAAATCTTTTTTGACAGTCAATTTGGTTTACAGTACAATGGCATTGACAAAATTAAAGTATTGAGGCTGCATACTATCAAATGGGAACCAGGTTTATATGCATAGTAAGTAAGTTAATAATTTTTGTGCACATTATAGATACCCTCAAAATATAGGGCAGCATTAAAAATATAATCATGCAAGATGTCCAGAGTGTCCCACAACATAATGCTCAGATTCTTTTTCAGTGAAATTTTGTCAAAATTAAAAGGAGAGAACTCTTCATTTTTTTTCTGATACGCATAAATGTACTTATGTTGTGTAGATAGTTTGAGCCAGTTCCGATCAAAATTAGATTTTATTTGTAAAGTTGCTCAAAAATTGGGCCAGAAGCCCAAAACCCCTGTACTATAGTACAGGAGTTTTGGCCAAATTTTGCCAAAAACTAAATATGTACTTAAAGTTTGAGCTGGTTCCAATCAAAATTGGATTTTTAATCAATCTTTAAAGTGCTTAGCTCATTCAGCATGGCCGTACAAAGTCAATACCTAATATGGTCATGCTAGCTCCCATTCTTTTGGCATGGGAGTAGTTAGCTTATGCCTAATCCCTTTGTGATACCAAATATGGTAGTATGGTCATGTGCCGTTTCAAAGGAAGATAATAAATATGAAAAAGGTGGATCAATCAATCAATATTAGTGTAGAGTTTCATTACATGCCTTTGGCTTCAAGTTGGTCTAAAATTCACAGAGAGAGACAACATGCCCCTTATATC